GTGTTAACTCAACGGATTAGGAGATAGATAATTTTCATCATCCAAGTGCAAGCAAGTGACATAATCACCAAGGAAGCAGCTAGGACTGGACAAGGCTACTCGTTTGCGTAGCAACCACCAACGAAGGGTCGGGTTAGCTTGCAAACTGATGGTTCCGTCCGACAACCAGGATCCCTGCAATTACAGGTGGCCCCATCCGGGATCACTTGGGAAGATGTTCAACATACTTTGTGGGGAAGCTCGACACCTACACCATTACTCGATCCAAAATCAAGGGGGGTATAGACGGCATCAAAATTGCTTGGTAACAGGACCACAAGAAAATTATAGTTCGCCTTCACTCGACAGCAACGCTGTAAATTCTTACAGCTTCTTGATACGAGGATCAAAGATACTATAGACTCACCCAACAATTCAAGACACTCATCAATCTCAACTGGAAGGTGAAAATCTTTCACATCTATAGAGAATACAATAAGGCAATCAATTTAGCCAACAACGACGATTATAGTGGTATAAGCATGCATGTTTTTTATCCTCGTGAACTGGGCCTTTATTATTAGGTTCTGTATGATGCTATAGGCTTTGCTCAATCTTGATTAATTTAACGTGCCAGACGGAGGTGCCCTTTTAGGACCCCATCTTTCTACCCAAAAAAGAAGAGGATGGTATAAGAAAATTATATGATGATCTAGAGATGATTAAGATTTCTTCGAAATATTGGATAATTCTTAGGAATTTTAATGTTATACAGCTAATCCTAGTAAAGCATTAAACTCTCCAAATTTTCTAATAGTATGGTTGACTTCCATAAATGACAATTTAATTTTGAGCTTAAGGAACACAAACATTCTTGGACATGGTTTACATCACTAAATAAATATGAGGGGAACCCAATAGCTAAGCAACTTGATAGGGAATTCGTTAATATTAGATGGCTCGATGTATTTTCTTCAAGTGTAGTTGATTTGATTGATCCTTCAATGTCGGATTATTATCTTATACGGTTGAATACATATATTTCTATCAAGTCACTACCAAAATCATTCAAGTTTTTTTTTTATATTTTGGATGGCTCGCCCTTGGTTTATAGATTTAGTTAAGTTTGCCTAGTCTTGTGAAGTCTTGGGGATCTCCCCTAGTGAGAGTTTGTAAAACGCTGAGGATTTTAAAGGGCCTATTGAAGCAGTTAAATCATGAGAAATAATCAGATATAAGAGAAAGAGTGAAGATCAAAGGAGTATATCTACTTTTCCCCCATGCTAATGCACTTTCAAATCCATCTGCAAGTAATTTTTCAATGAAAAAGGGTTGTTTGTTGAATTAAAGGAGTTAGGAGATGCTGAGAAGTATTTTCAATGGAGATAAGAGCCCCAGGCCAAATGGCATTTTAGCAAGCTTCTTCCAGGCAACATGACATATTATGGGTTCTAGGTAATCAATGCTCTCTGATCATGCTTTAATGTATCTTATATTCGTAGTGAGGTTAACTATATTCTATAGCTTTAATTCCAATTGTTGATGCCAAGCTCCGAGGAGCCTGCTTCAATGTGTTTGAGGTCCGGTGAGCGCTGTCCTCCTTTGGCCAACGTCCGCCGCCGCCAGCCTCCGAGATGGACACCTGCAAAACAAGAGGAACCCGCCGGCCGGTGGTCGGCGGGGACCTGCTCCGAAGCTCAAGTCAGTGTTGAGAGGAGAGTAACCGGGAGCGGCGTATTGAGCCGTCTCTAGAAAGAAATTCAGAGTTTTTATCTGAAATGAACTGCCGAGAAAGCATAAATGAGCGTCCTATTTATAGGTGCCTCCTGCTTCTGACGTAAATGGCGTGTGAAGAATAAAATAACAATTAGACACTTACCTCGCCACCAACCTTGGTGCAATGGATGGTTTGCTCCTGAAAATTCTTCCCTTGGCCACGTATCTCATGGGAAAAGCATAGTTAGAGTGGATGAATATTGCTTGGCTTCTCCCATGTGTTCATGAATGTAAAACTGATTATGGTTGCTTGAGTTGGGTGGGGAAATACACACATGCATCCTTAATCCAACACATAGGTCATTGCCATGTGTCATAAAAAAGATGGGTTGTCAATTGTTTGTTGTCTTGATGAGGTGGGTTATTTCTCAAACAAAATAATTGGAACAATACAATATATTTTCTACATGAAATTGAGAGGGTGATTGGTGGAGCTAGGGAAATGGAAGACAAGAGGAGCATCCTTTGTCTTTCTCCCCAAAAGCCCAGTGGATGGAATTGGTGACCTTGTTGAATGGGTTAATTTCACTTGTTTCCCTAGCTACGTGTTCCAAATTGAGAAGAGTGTGCCACCCATGTGTGTAATATTCCTTCATATGGTTGGAGGGTGAGCAAATAACAACTTCCCTCCACGTTGTTAGTTGATGGAAGCAGTTTAATTACACTCCAATTTGGTCATATGGAGTTACATAAGTGTGAGGGATAAATGCACTTACTTTTTGCTATACCCATGTGTAAATAAATGGGTGAATGGGAATGATGGGTAAGAAGCATTCTTAATCCATCTCACCTCTACGTGTAGCTAGGGAAAGTGAGTGGTGAAATACGGGGTCCATCACCAATGATTAAAAAAAATCTCGAGAATATGAAGTTTTAGGCCAATCTCTTGTTGTACCATTCTTTACAAGTGTGTAGTAAAGATCTAGTATGTGTTACCACATGTTATAAGTGAGAATCAAATTTCCTTTCTCAAAGGCATATTTAATTGGTGAGAATATTCTCCTTGCTCACAAGCTGGTAAAAAAGTATAACTGGAAAAAATATCACTTAGAAGCAAAATTAAATTTGATATAGTGAAGAATTTTAACTCAGTTGATTGGAGTCTTTTTGCTCGAGGTAACGGAGGCAATGGGGTTTACTCATAGGCTCATTAGATGGTTAGGAATGTGTGTTACCATCCCAAAACTCAGTTTTGGCTTTAATGGGGGATGAAGGGGTATTTTCTAGTAAAACAAGTGTAAGACAAGGAGATTCTTTATCCCCTTACCTATTCGTCATAGTCATGAAAATTTTCTCATATATGATTCATAAAGTTGTTGTAAGTGGCTCACTTGTCCTCTCATCTAAGATGTAAAAGACTAGGATTAACACATTTAATGGTTGCAGATTATCTTTTCTTATTTACTTATGGATCTAATCGTGGGATAAGAAGCATTCAACAAGTTTTGACTCAATTCAGAAGTCTAACTGGGTTTGTTCCAATCCATCCTAATGTAAATTCCATTATGGGGGACTGCCTCTTGAGTGGCATAAACAAATGACATAAGTATATGGTTATAAGTTGGTTAGCCTTCGAGTTAGATATTTAATTCTTCCTCTTAACCTCCGATTGTTACTCATTAAAGCATGCAAACCTCTCATAGACAAATTGACTACAAAAATAATAGGATGGAGATCAAAATTCCTCAACTATGTTGGGAGATTGAAGTTGACTATGGAAGTGTTTTTTACAAAGAAAATTGTGAAAATGTGTAGTGACTTTCATTGGAGAGTGGGTGAACTAGGTAGAAAAAAGATAATTGTTTCTTGGAAAAACATCAGCTTTCAAAAGAAAAAAAAGAGGTTTTGAGGACAAAATGAGAATATTAAAAACTGATGAGATTACATAGGGTTTTTTCACCTCATAAATTTTTGCCCTCTTCAAAAATCTTACCTCACGTCATGAGGTGGGATTTTATAATTTGTGTGTCCATGGTTTTGGCACAAAAATACAATGTGTGGCCCCACTAGCATCGAGAAAATCCCATATCATCACTAAACATGGACTTGAGTCATAATCCAATAGACGTGTCAAAATCCCAATCAAAATCCTACAAGCAAACAATCCCTACAACAAGTAAAAGGAGCCCCTCTTGAGTGCACGATGGCAGGTTGGTGGTGAAAATTGGTGTGGGTGTGGTTACCCACCATACATTTTGTGGTAACCACAACCACAAAGTCATGATTATGCTAACCGCAAACGACACTCCACCGGTTAGTGGTTTGGTGTGGTGTTATTGTGGTTACACGAAAAATTGTCTTTTAAATGCATGAAGCGTTGTAGCACTCCACCAACGAATCCTCTATTCTTTACTAGACTATAGAGATGTGTTGTTGTGTTGTTCATAAAGATGAAAAAGTATTTGGTATTCGAATTTTGGGTCGAAGAGAAGAAAAAATTGGAAGTCTTTATTTTACAAAATGCTAATTAATCCTAAATGATACATCATAAATTTTCACTGTATGCCAGTGAGTTATTTTAGCTTTTAACGAAATTAGTTCTTCATTAATAATAATTATGATGACATTAAAGGTAAAACAAAATTTGTTATGATTAGTACTTTAGTAGTAGATCAAACAAAATTTGGTTAGTCTAATGTGATTGTTGTGAATTTTGTGAGCTAATCATTATTGTTAGTGGTTAATAACCACAAAAATTATTATTTTATTAATCACACCGAATTCAGTATCCACACCTTGGAAGTATGATTAATAACAATATATGTGAAATAGTGCGCTTTACGGGTTATCCACAAACCGCAAACCAAACTTCCACCTTTGGCAGTAGGTCAGGTCGCCACGACCCTTTAAAAGCAACAAGTGCGAAAAGTATGGCCCGACCCACATTCAACCTACCACGCAATTGGATCGCCATTAACAGTCGGATAAGTAGAGCAATCAATACAAACAGACAAAAAGGATTAATTGCATGGTTAGTCACTGAGATTACAAAAAACGTTCAAGTTTGGTCACTTGAAATATTTAAATCCATTGGTGGTACTTCAGTTTACTGAAACCGTTCACGTTTGGTCACTCTCCGTTAACTTTTGCTTACATGGCGGTCAACTCTAAAAGTTTACCGTTAAATGTGTGACGTGGCAATTAAAAATAATAAAATTACATTTTTTAAAATTGCCATCTCATTATCACTTTTATTTAAAATAAAGAAAAAGTCATAATTTCTTCTAATCCCAATACCAATACCCAACCTCTCTCAGGACACCCGCCACTGGGAATCACTCTCCCCCGATGAGCGCCACTTTATCACCCACGTCCTCGCATTCTTTGCCTCCTCCGACGGAATCATCCTCGAGAAACTCGTCGGCCGGTTCATGAAGGAAGTGCAAGTGGCGGAGGCCAGAGCCTTCTACGGGTTCCAAATCGCGACCGAGAACATCCACTCCGAGAGGTACATCCTCCTCCTCGAGACCTACATCAAGGACTCCGACGTGCCTCTTCCGCGCCATCGAGACGGTGCCTTGTGTGGCCAAGAAGGCCCAGTGGGCCTTAAAGTGGATCGACGGCGGGGAATCGTTCGCCGAGAGGTTGATTGCGTTTGCCTGCATTTAAGGGATCGTCTTCTCTGGTAGCTTCTGCGAGATATTTTGTCTGAAGATAACGATTTGGAATGTATTTGTGAAGAGGAAGCTCAGCCTTCTCTGAGTCTCACCTCTGCTTTTTATAGATAGGAAAGCAATTAACAAAACAACGACAGGTGTCTTCGTTACATAGGCTAGAATTTTAAATAAACAGTAAACATTAACGGTTAATAACGACTAATCAAAACGCAGCCGTTTCTCCAACTCTTCTTCACTTCACAGCAACACGACGCCGTTCTCTCTTCTTTTTTTACTTCACTTCGAATTCTTCTGCAACTAGGATTGCAGACCTGCAACTTCTTCTTCATGTAACCATTTCATCTCCATCGTTTCTTCTTAGCTTTGTCATCCCCCCTCAAGTTGGTGGTATCAACTTGATCCCCAACTTGACTAAGAGCTCCTTCAATCTGAAACGATCAAGCCCTTTGGTGAAGATGTCAGCAACCTGTTCAACAGTATTAACATATTCCAGTTTGATCAATCCAAGTTTCACCCTTTTCCTGGTCACATGTATGTCTATTTCTATGTGTTTTGTCCTCTCGTGGAACACAGGGTTCTCTGCTATATGGATAGCATACCTATTATCACAAAAGATGGTAATAGGCAAAGGAACCTGTATGGACAGTTCAGAAAGCAACCTTTTCAACCATTCCACTTCACACACAAGATGTGCCAAGGCCCTATACTCAGCTTCTGATGATGACCTTGAAACAGTTGTTTGCTTCTTAGTTTTCCAGGTAATCAGGGATGAACCAAGCTCTGTACAATATCCAGTTAAGGATCTTCGAGTGTCAGGGCAGCTTGCCCAGCCTGAATCACTGTACCCTGTCATCTTGAGTTCTGCTTCATTGCTGAAGTGGATCCCCTGATCTGGTGATGACTTAAGGTACCTTAACACCCTGTATGCTGCTTGCATATGCTCCACACATGGCTTCTTCTGGTACTGACACAGTTGTTGTACTGCAAAGGCAATGTCTGGCCTTGTTATAGTCAGGTAATGCAGTCTCCCAACTAGTCTCATGTACCCTTCTGCATCTTCCAACACAGTTCCACTTGCTGTTAATTTTACCTTGGTATCAATAGGTGTCTTACAACCCTTTGATTCCAAATAACTAGGGCTAGTAATCGGTCGGTATCCGGTATACCGGATAACATTGTGTACCCACCGAATACCGATACCGAATGTTATCCGGTATACCGGATACCGAATACTCGGTATCCGGTATTAATACCGGTATATCGAATACCGATTAATGCATTGAGATTATACCATTAGAATTCGAGATAAAGAAACTGACGATAGCATTGGAGATTAACTAATTGGAATCCAATTGAAGTTTATTGTGAATACTTGGAACTTGAAGCATTGGAACTGATTGACGCTCAAAGCATCCCCTTGGTGATAAGGAGAATTTGAGTTTAGGCAAAGGATTAGATAGTAGTGGTGGCGGCGGTTGGTGGAAAGGGATTTGCAGCTGATAAAGAAAGGGCGGGATGAATGTCCTGGGGGAAGACCGCCGGGGCGTGCTGTGGTGGCGCTGGAATTCGCCTCGGCGGGCTGGAGAAGAAGAGTTGAAGTCGAACAGAGGAAAGGTGGAGGGGCCGATGTGCTGGGCTGCGCAGATGTTGATTTAATTTTAGGGTTTACACGCCCCCCCCCCCCAACTCCCAATTTCAAACGCTGTTGTTTCCTTTTTTTATTTTTGTTATTCGGTATTCGGTATACCGATTTACCGTCGGTATATGACTGGTCGGTATTCGGTATACCGTTTAGCCAAGAAGTGCAGCCGAATACCGATACCGACGGTATTCGGTATACCGAATACCGATTATAATCGGTTCGATACCCGGTATACCGAATACCGGTTTACCGAATACCAGCCCTACAAATAGCCTATGTCCTTTAAAAGCTCCAAGCAATACTTTCTTTGACAGACATCTAGTCCACTTGAAGTTCTGCTAACCTCCAATCCTAGAAAGTACCTGAGAGGTCCTAGCAATTTAATCTTGAACTATTTGCTTAAAGTTGCCTTCACTTGTTCTATGTCCTTTTTGGAATCTCCCCCCGGTATTATATCATCAACATAGACAAGCAACACTGTGATCTTCCCATGAGTCCATTTTGTAAACAGTGAATAATCTGATGTTGACTGAGAGAAACCAAACTTAAGTAAGAAACCTGTCAACCTAGCAAACCATTGTATAGAGGCTTGCTTAAGGCCATACAATGATTTCTTTAGTCTACAGGTCATCTTCTGACCACTTCCCGAGGGCACTTCTAACCTAAGTGGCAGCTTCATATAAACCACTTCATCCAATTCTCCATGCAAGAAGGCATTGGAGACATCTAACTGCTCCAGAATCCAGTGTTTAACACTAGCTACTGCTAAAAAGGTTTTCACTGTGTTAATTTTTGCCACAGGTGAGTAGGTATCTAGGAAGTCAATTCCATAGATCCGTGTGTACCACTTTGCAACTAGCCTAGCCTTATTCCTTTTCAAAGATCCATCAGGTCTAAGTTTTATCTTATAGACCCACTTGTTACCCACTTCCTTCACACCAGGAGGTAAAGGAACTACATCCCAGGTTTGATTCTCTTATAAGGCATGCATTTCTTCTTTCATAGCCTTATTCCATACATCTGACTATATGGCTTCATAATAAGATCTAGGCTCAATCTGGTTTATGAGACTCATGACATAACACTGATCCTCTTTGCTTAAAGCATTAACACTCAGACAGACAGGGTACCTGGTACAGGACTGAGCATTTCCAAAAGCTTCAAACTTCAATGAAGGATCCAACTGATAATCATTAAACTTGCTTGGCAGTTTGAGTTTCCTAGAGTGCTTCCTGTTAACCAGTGTTTGAGGATCATCTGGGTCAACATCAACCTGTGGATGGAGTTCCTGTTCATCAGAATCAAAGTACATGTAGTGATCATTGACCACTGCATCATTGGTCACAAATGTGGGAGAAACCTCATGCTCATTGTTCCCCCCTTTATCTATAGATGAATCAGGCTGAGAAGGAGGTGGAGCAGAAGAAGAAGTAGATGGATGAAAGGATAAAGGAATCTGAAGGGAAGGTGTTGCAGAAGCAGGAATGGGAGTACTGGAACTGCTGGCAGGTAAGGGAGAGTTGTGTGTTTTGAAAGGGAGGATATGTTCATAGAATGAAACATTTTTGGAGAAGAACACCTTCTTTTCATGGATGTTCAGAACTTTATATCCTTTTAAACCTGAGGGTATCCCAATAAACATACACTGTTTGGCTCTAAGAGCAAACTTAGTTCTGCCATGAGCCAAAGTGTTTGCATAACAAAGGCAACCAAACACTTTCAAGTGCCCTAAGAATGGGGTTTGCTTATACAAAGCTTCATAGGGGGTTTTGTTTTGTAGTATAGGTGTAGGCATGCGATTAATCAAATAAACAACATGCAAAATGAAGTCACTCCAGTAGGTAAGGGGTAAACCAGATTGAAACTTAAGACATCTAGCTACATTTAGAATGTGCTGATGCTTTCTTTCCACTCGACCATTCTGCTCAGGAGTCTCAACACAAGAGACTTGGTGTTCTATCCCCATTGAAGAGAAATAGTCACACATTTCAAACTCCTTCCCTTGATCTGACCTGATCACTTTAACAGAAGCATTAAACTGATTCTGAACAAGGTTGCAGAACCCTTGTATCAATCCTCTAACCTCACTTTTATGCCTCATTAGATACACCCACACACAACGAGTATGATCATCCACAATAGTTAAAAAGTAGGAAAAACCATCATATGAAACTGTGGACAAAGGGCCCCAAATATCCATGTGTATTAAATGAAAAGCCTCAGGAGCAATACTGGTGCTAACAGGAAAAGGTAATTTTCTTTGTTTGGACAAGTGACACACATCATAGTGAGTGGTCTTTGATTTAGCAACTGAGGGAATTACATTACTAAGTAAAGACTGTCTATCATGTCTAGGATGGCCTAATCTCCAGTGACACAGGTTCAGGTCTTGAGGATAAAAGTTGAAGGTCATGGCTGCTTGGTGTGGATGGACTGGTGAGGTAAGCTTGGTTTGTCTTGAGGGAAGGGCAAGTTGGTACATGCCTCTAGTGGTGTGGGCTAAACCAATCTTCTTCTGGCTTAAGAGGTCCTGTATTTCACATTTGTCAGAATGGAAGAGTAAGGAAAAGGGGTTATCATGGGTAAGCTTACTAACTGAAATGAGATTAAAGGAAAATTGTGGCACTAGGAGAACATCATGCAATGTCAAACCACAATCAAGGTGTACTGTTCCTATGCAAATGACAACAACTCTAGTACTGTTAGGTAGGTAGACAAAAGCATCCTTAACAGGTTTGTAACTAGAGAAAAGATTGAAACTACAGGCTATGTGGTCTGAAGCTCCTGTGTCTACAATCCATAAGGTATGATCATTTGTTTTAGTGTTTTGAGAGGAAGACAGGACATGTTTGCCTGAAAAGTTGGGAAAGGAAGATGGGTATTGTGTGGCAGAATAGGCTTGGTGGTTGATGACTGATGGGGAAGTAGGTGGTGAGGTATGAGGATTACCACCAGATTGCAGAAGATACCTGAGACGATTCATTTTTTCTGGGGTGAACCCTGATGGAACTGAGGGTTTACCATCATTAGCCACACTACCCTCAGAAGCACTCTCATTTCCACTGCCCTGTGAAACAGAACCTGCAAATCTTGGGGTGCTAGAGCTTGAACTAGAGCTCGAGTTAGATCCTCCATTACTATTACCTTCCTTCTGCATCTCTTGCTTTCTCTTCAACTTCCAACAATCTTCAATATTATGATTGTTCATTTTGCAGAAACGGCAAAACTTCTTCCCCTTTCCTTCACTATTCTCCCTTGAGTTCCCACCAACTGCTAGAGCCAAACTTTGCCCTTTCTTTCCTCCAGTAGCATTGTCTGTTTTCAGCTTCTGCTCATGTTGCAGAAGTTCATCCACTGCTGTTGAGACTGTAGGCAGTGGCTTTTGCATCAGAAGTTGGGTTTTTTTAACCTCTTCAAACTCTGGGTTCAACCCCCTCAGAAAACGTACCAGATAATATGTTTCCTGCTTTTGCACAAATGCAGCTACAGCTGCATAAGGCATAGGATTCCCAGGAGCACAAAGTGCATGGAGTTATGGGAGAAAACTCCACATACTCGTCCCAAAGCCCCTTGATAGCAGTATAATACCGACTAATGGTACTGGACCCTTGTTTACATGCTAGGATCTCATCTTCTAGGTTTGTAATTCTCAAAGCATTGGGTTGGCCAAAACGCCTCTTCAGTTCATCCCACAATGTCTTAGAATTAGTGTGATTCAACACAGAACGCCTAATCTCCTTTATCATGGAATTCTGTAGCCAGTAGAGTACCACTGTATTACAAGCATCCCACAGATTAAACAGATATGCATTTCTAGGAGGGATGGGAATAGACCCATCAATGAATCCTAGTTTGTTCTTCGTTTTCAGCACTACTTCAATAGATCTACTCCACATCAGGTAGTTTGTTCCATCAAAAAGTTCAGCAACTAGCGATTGGGACATGTTTTCATTCGGATTGAGATAATAGGGATTACCAAATACCACTGTCTCAGTTTACAGCTGGGTTTGGTTGAAGGTACCAAAGCAAACCCCTGCTGCTGTGGTTGTTGATCCGCTGCCACCAGTGCCGGTGAACGGCGGTGTGTTGGGTGGAGTCTGCCCTTCTGACATCCTATCGTGTGCCGCAGAAAAACCCTAGAGCTCACTGAGCTTTGATACCATAACGATTTGGAATGTATTTGTGAAGAGGAAGTTCAGCCTTCTCTGAGTCTCACCTCTGCTTTTTATAGATAGGAAAGCAATTAACAAAACAACGACATGTGTCTTCGTTACAACGGCTAATAACGACTAATCAAAACGCAGTCGTTTCTCCAACTCTTCTTCACTTCAAAGCAACACGACGCCGTTCTCTCTTCTTCTTTTACTTCACTTCGAATCCTTCTGCAACTAGGATTGCAAACCTGCAACTTCTTCTTCATGTAACCATTTCATCTCCATCATTTCTTCTTCGCTCTGTCAGAAGAAGCGCGTATTGATGCCCGGGTTAACGTTCTCCAACGAGCCGATCTCGCGAGATGAAGGGCTTCATTGTGATTTTGCCTGCTTGCAGTATGGGTTGATGAAGGTGAAGCCCAGCGAGGAGCAAGTGAAGGGATTCGTTAGAGATGCAGTGGATATCAAGAGGGAGTTTGTTTGTGATACCCTGCCATGCGCACTGGTAGGGATGAACGGGGCTTTGATGGGCCAGTATATTGCGTTCGTTGGTGAAAGGAAAAACGTTAAGAAAAGAATGTAATACGGTGGGTTCAAGGAATCGAATCACTACAAACTCAAAAAAATCGGAATCCTTCTTTTCTGATTTCTCCCTTCTTCCAATTCCCCCCAAAAAATCTACCCCTAACCCAGCCGCCGCCGCCTCACACCTATTGTACGCCCAGAGGTCCGGCGAAACCCCTCGAAACCGAACATGGAAGTTGCTGGCGAGAATCTTGATCTCAAGGACAACGCGAATTCCGCTCTCGTCGATTCCTTCTACGAGATCACCTCCTCCACCAGGCAGGAAGCCACTTTCTTTCTCGAGAGCCACCAATGAGATCTCGACGCCGCCGTCTCCACCTACCTCGACAACGATAACGCCGCTGTCTCTATCGTCCCTTCTTCTGCTGTTCCTACTGCTCCTCCGACTAGTAGAGGTGGCGGCGACACTCCTTCTTCGACGGATTTTTCGGACGAATCGATGTCTCCTAACTATGAATAGTTTGAATGGATGGAGCTGATTTCGTTGCAGGGGAAGACGAATTTCTTTGAGAAAAGGGTTGGGGAATACCGGAAGGCTTCTGTTTAGAGGTGGCAAATGGATTGATCCATGAATTGGTGGATTGGATTGGTGGATCCATGGATCAAATGGATTGGATCCAATGGATTGGTGGATTCATGGATTGGATCGAGTTGATTGGTGGGTTGTCCATGAATCCAAATGACATCCTCAACCAATGACCAATATTTAAAATGTGAAAAGTTTAGGTACTAAAATGTCATAATGAAAATTTTAGGTACCTAAACATAATTTTCCAATGATATTTTTCGTATAAAAAATTAAATTTTTGGTACCAAAATGTAAAATATAAAAAGTATAGGTACCAAATTGTAATTTTCCATTTGGATCCATGGATCAATCCATGAATCCGCCAATCCAATTGGATTTGGATAAAATGGATTGGATTTAAATTTATTGGATTAGGTGGATATTTTTAAAGGGTTGGTGGATTTGATTGAGAATTGTCACCTCTACTTCTGTTATGAATAGTTTGAATGTTATTGGGATTAGAAGAAATTAGGGTTTTTTATTTATTTTTAAATAAAAGTGATAGTGAGGTGGAAATGAGATAGTAATTTTAAAAAAATTAATTTTATTAGTTTTAAATTGCCACGTCAGTATGTCACACATTTAACTGTCAACTTTTAAAGTTGACCGTCACGTAAGCAAAAGTTAACGGAGTTGGACGAAGAGTGACCAAACATGAACGATTTCAGTAAACTGAAGTACCACCAATGGATTTAAATATTTCGAGTGACCAAACTTCAATTTTTTTTATAATCTCAGTAACCAATCATGCAATTAACCTAACAAAAATATCACGGCTTAATTGCAAGTTTGGTCACTCGAATTGCTACAAAATTTCATGTTTGGTCACTCGAATTGATTAATTCCATTCGTAGTCACTTAAATTAGTTGAACAGTCCAACTTTAGTCACTCTCCGTTAACCTCCGTCAAACTCCGTTAGTACCGTCAGTTAACTGCTGACGTGGCTAATAGAGGTGCTTAGTCATCCTATTTTAACAAAAAAAAAAAAAAAACATGCCACATCATTAACCCCTCAATATTTTAAAAGTCCACCCAAACCCAATCAACCCCTGACCCGAACCGAACCCCTAAACCAACCCATTCACCTGTTCCCCCTCTTCTTCCCCCCTCTTCTTCCCCAGCTCCGAATCGTCATCTACATACTCGGTTACTCTCTGGTCTTCCGCCACTGGCCGTCGGGTGCTCGCTCCGAGGCTTCCAGCTGTCTGATCTCTTTGTTTCACGGCACCCCGGCCGTGTTCCTTGCCTCGTGCGCAATTTACTCCGACTCCAATCGCGGGTTCTCAGCCACCAACACCCCCTTTCAATCCGCCGCGCTTGATTTCAGCGTTGCATACTTCTTCGTAGATCTGCTCCACTACGTCTTCTTCTTCTCCCCTGGGGATGCCCTCTTCATCGGACACCACTTGGCCACTTTATTTGTGTTCCTCACGTGCCGATACCTCGTCGGCCACGGCGCCTTCGCGATACTGACCCTCTTGGTCCTCGCCGAGGTCACCAGCTTCTGCCAGAACGTGTGGACGCTGGCCGGGGTGAGGAAGGGAGATTCCAAGCTCGCGGCGAGGGTGTATCGTTTGTTGTCCCCGCCGTTCTATGCGTTCTACTCCGTCGTCCGTGGGGTTCTGGGGCCGGTGTTTATGTATAAGATGGGGGAGTTTTATTGGAGTGGGGTGGCGGATGGTGTTGTCCCCAGGTGGATTTGGGTTTCGTGGATGGTGGTTGTGATTGGCGCCATCTCTGTTAGCATCTTCAATGGAGATTAGGCGGTAGCCTTGGCCGATATTTGAAGTGGAGGAGGAAGAAGAGTTGGAAGAGGCGACGGCGCCATGGAAGCAGAGGAGGAGAAGGAGAAGGATTGTTGAAGGGGAGTGAGGAGGAGAGAGCAACTTCATCTTCTTCTGCTACTTCCCTCTCTCAGTAATCACTGAACTACTGCTGTGCTTCAGTGGTTGGCAGTAATGGCGATTCGGGTCGGAGCTGGGGAAGAAGAGGGGGGAAGGAGGGGGGAACAGGTGAATGGGTTGGTTTAGGGGTTCGGTTCGGGTCAGGGGTTGATTGGGTTTGGGTGGACTTTTAAAATATTGAGGGGTTAATGATGTGGCATGTTTTTTTTTTTTGTTAAAATAGGATGACTAAGCACCTCTGTTAGCCACGTCAGCAGTTAACTAACGGTACTAACGGAGTTTGACGGAGGTTAACGGAGAGTGACTAAAGTTGGACTGTTCAACTAATTTAAGTGACTACGAATGGAATTAATCAATTCGAGTGACCAAACATGAAATTTTGTAGCAATTCGAGTGACCAAACTTACAATTAAGCCAAAATATCACACAGTTAACCAACCATGCAATTAACCCAACAAAAATATCACACAGTAAAACAATAATAATGCAATTTCATTATTGCCCTTTGCTGACCGACCGGATTTGTTTCAGCGGACAGCGATTCGTTCGTCAACAACGTTGACTACTCACCTCTACCACTAGATTGACCTCATCTCCCACGTGTCCCCATCTACACCATCCACTTGAAAATCCCCGCTCCATGATCGCAAACTACTGGCACAAAGGCGCGTGGATAGCTAGATCTGATTATTCATTTAGGAAACAAAAAAAAAGGAAAAAGAAAAGGAAAGGACGTTTTTGTAATTACATCGATTTGAAAATCCTGTCGCAAGAAGTACACACACAGGAAAGAAAAATAGGGAGGGAAGTGTACGTGCGTGTTGATGAAAAGCGAGTTCTCTCCGATTGGGGTCCGGCGAGAGATCTTTTGGTTCACTGTTACTTTGATCGGAAGAAAGAATCGGTGGCGCGATGGCGAGCTTGCAGTTGATTAGAGAGAGCAGCGAGGCGGTGGAGAGGCAGAGCCAGAGCCCGAGGAGTCCCGAAGCCAAGCTCGGGATGAAAGTGGAGGATCTGTGGGACGTTCAAGAGCCGCAGCTCAGTCCTAGCGAGAAACTCAATGCTTGCTTCGAGAACATTCCCGTCTCTGCGTTCCCTGCTTCTTCTTCTCGAGGTATTGGAAATGGAATCAATCATTTTATTTTTACCCCCATTCCTTCCTGTGCTGAGGTTGAGAAGGTACGGCCAGGTCGTTGTTTTGTAATTTTGGACCGTGTTTCCTTGGTGTAGTGATTGAGATAAAATCGGATACGACGCTGGCAGAGGCGGTGAAGATATTGGGGGAGAACAAGATTCTGAGCGCGCCGGTGGTGAACGTCGATGCGCCGGAGGACGCTACTTGGATGGATAGGTACATCGGAATTGTGGAGGTTGCCGGAATCGTGGTTTGGATTTTGCAGCAGGTGAGAGTTTGGTCAAGGATTTGATTTCCGTTAGGTCATGTATGCATCTGTCCTGTAATCTGTATGTCCTAAGAGCTTAAGAGCGAGAATGAAAGAAGTTTTGGTATTGGACAGTCAGAACCTCCGTCTCCTAGGAGTGCAAATTCAGGAACCTCTGCTGCATTGGCGGTGAATGGATTGACGAATGCTGCTGGAGTTGGGATCTTGGGGCCTGAAGATGCTCAAGCAACATCTGGAGACTTTTTTGAGGATCTCACTTCGTCGGAATACTACAAAAACACCAAGGTTCCTTGTGGATTGTTTTGATCATTTCTAGTCCCTGGCTTGATGTGGATCCAATCAATTCCGTATCTACTTTGAAAAATGATGTTGTTGCAGGTTAGAGACATCTCGGGCTCATTCCGATGGGCACCGTTCCTGGCTTTGCAGAAGTCCAACTCCTTCTTGACGATGCTGCTATTGCTTTCCAAGTACAAAATGAAGAGCATCCCAATCGTTGATCTGGGGGATGGCAAGATTGACAACATCATCACGCAATCTGCTGTAATTCACATGTTAAGCGAATGTGCTGGGCTTCACTGGTTCGAGAGTTGGGGAGCCAAGACGGTTTCTGAACTTGGACTTCCCCTGGTCTCCCGCGATCAGATTATCAAGGTTTCTTTTTGACTGGCTCTGTACCTGGTGGTTGTTCTTTTGTGATTGAGATTGAGATATATGGTATCTGACAGCATTCTAGAAAGCGAGGAAGACAAGGCCTGTCCGATAGCCACGCTTTGCAGTCTCAGTTTTATCCCATTCTTCAGTTACCTATGATGATGGTTTTTGCTGCCTCAGGTATATGAGGATGAACCAGTGCTCCAAGCGTTCAAGCTGATGAGGAAATTGAGAATTGGTGGTGTTCCTGTTATGGGAGGGGATGGCAAGAAGCCAATTGGCAACATCAGTCTGAGAGATGTTCAGTTCCTACTAAATGCGCCAGAGATTTACCACGAGTTCAGGTGCATAGTTCAGTTCTTCAACGATTGTGCTTTCATCATCCGATCATCATCATTGTTTTTTCTCATGCAGCATATATGCTCTTTGGTAGTTCTTTAATTATTAGTGTACTACTCTCTAGTTGGTGCCTTCTTCAGGAGCTAGTGCGGTTTCAGTCCCTAGCTCGTCTATGAATACCACCAAGAATGGAGTGTCCATATTGAATTTTAAATGGTAGTCTGAACTTGTTGTGCATCTTATTCCCATTTGTTGCAGATCTATCACAGCCAAGAACTTTCTGTTGGCGGTGAGAAGCTACTTGAAGGATCACGAGGAAGACACCCCAATTGTGAGCGGGATGATAACATGTAAAGGGAGCGACAACATTAAGGACTTGATTATGAAGCTAGACACCAAGCAAATCCACCGGTTATACGTTGTGGATGAATCCGGGAATCTGGAAGGAGTGATCACCCTGAGAGACGTTATCTCGAGGCTTGTACACGAACCCCGTGGATACTTTGGGGATTTCTTTGACGGAGTTCTGCCACTCCCTGCTAACAGTAGAGTCTGAGGAGGCAGCAACTCAAAGTTGTTTGTTGTTCATGCTTCTGGTGGCCAGGTCAGGTCAGGTCAGGTCAGGTCAGCCCACACTTCCGACTGTGCTTGTTGGTTTGTCAACCAACCCTCTCAATCACTCAATGATTGTAGCAATATAGGTCGGTTCTCCTGTAAGTAGTTCCCAGAACTCTTTCTTGACTGGTTGAGTTTTATTTACCCTTTGTCATGAAAACTGTATGGTAAGTATGTGGTGGTGGCTCACCGCCCCTGTTGTATGAACAGCGAATAATCAGAACTGCTGATTGGAAGTTACAACATCTCCGGTGATCTAGAGTGGTGCTTTTTTGGGTTTGAGGATTTGCGCTCGATTTGGATTCAAGTACTTGAACATCGATTGATCAATCTCCTGCGTCACATCTTTTGTTGTTGTTGCTGCTGCTGCTGCTGCTGCTGCTGTTGTTGTTGTTGTTGTTGTTGTTGTTGTTGTTGTTGTTGTTGTTGAGAATGATGTAGAATCGCATCTTGATGGTGGGATTGGATTGGGGCGGACAGAAGCAACACATAGGCAGCATCTGCATACATGCGTTGTTTCAGAAAAGAATCCTTCCATCCATCCCATAGCAGCCAAGCAATGCTGTGGGTTTCTGCTCCAACGTCGATACTATTCTTGTCTTGGCTTGCGCATCGAGCAACAGAGTTGCAGGCTGCTGCTGATTGCTTAAAAGCACGAACAAGTTGTGAAGGAAAACTTTCCACAACGGATCAAAGACTGGCTTTGGCTGGCCAAAATGATTCCAGAGAGGGAATAGAACTGAGATGTTGGCGATTATTCCAAAGGGGAAAAAGTCTTATGTTGTCGCCCAGACCCGACCCTTGTCTTATGGGAGCGAACAGACAAAACCCTCCTTCCTCCACGGTGATTCCAATTTGCACTTCTTCCAGTCCCCTCCTTCCTGCCCGCCCATTCACGACCTTCCTCAACGACGAAGAAAAAGTTGAAATGGACGCAGGCACACACAACACTAGTATCCGGATGAGCAACGCTACTGCTCTGTTAGCCTTGGCCGCAACCGCGCAATGCGCATGTGCTAAGTGATAGGAGGAAGCGGGGGAGGAAGAGGTTTGGTTGCATTCGGGTTAGCTGCTAGTCCTAGTGCTCTCTGGTTTAAGATGGACACACAAAATCCCGCCTCAACACTGATAACATTATCAGGCAAACACAGCAGCACCCTAATAAACACAACACTTCACTAATAGGCTCTGCCTAAACAGAAGGAAGGATATGCCACAATGATCCAGTGGCTACTAACACGAAAGAAGAAGAACAAAGAATCTACCGTATCTGTGACTGGATCTTATTCACGTATGCAAGGTATACCTTATCGAAACACACACAGAACGAGAACTAACTTATCAAACCTGCACGATGTTTACAGTTCTAACATAATTCTCAACTGCAAAACTTCAGTCTTTAGGGGTTACGTTGACATGACATGAGAAACACACTTCGCCAATGGCACAGCATCGTACATTGAGACGAATCTGTAAACTTGGATTCACATACGCACTCAAACCACTGAGCTTCATGACTAAGAACCAGCTGCAGTATTGGCAAAAATGAGAACGGATACTTAAGAGTCTATATTAAAATGTACAACAGACTTAAAATACAGCATTCAAAGACTGTTTCGACTTGCAGGGAGCATCTGTTTGTTTCTCTACTCAAGCATTGACAATAACCAACAACTAATAAACAAAACCAAAAAGAAAAGAAAAAACCATATATCGCGCATACATTCGAAACGGGGAACTCCGTTCCTTCTTCTAAGTCTTAAGCAAGCAAGTGATTGATACCTGTTACCCGAGCCACCCAGTCTATCCATCCTACTAACTCTTTCTTCTCAAGTGGTGAATAACAAGAGGTGTCCCTTCAAATAGATCAGGCACATAATTCTCCAGATCGTCTGGTGTGAACTTTATGTACTTCCCTGAATGCTTCCCGCTCTCTAGATGGCTTCCAAACCGTCCCATAAACGCCCGGTAAGCAGGTATCACTTTTTCAGATATAGAGATTCTTAGCTCTTCGCGAAGCTGAGGATCTGGGACCTTCCATCCTGTCTGAACCCTGTATATATCTTCAAAGCATGCATTGAAACTCTTAAACCTTTCTTTCAAAATCACTCTCGATGCACTACCCGAGCTTCCACCAATCCCTTCATCCTTCAAACATGACAAAGCCCTACTCCAAGCAGCCCTAAGATAAGAGGTCGCATATTGACGTATCTTTCCCCGGCGTTTTCGAACCCACTGATCTCCCACCACCTTAATGAGTTCCGAGTCTTTTACTTTCTGCACCATGTACAGAATGTTATTCATCAGGAATATGTAGTGCATAGCACCATCCTCGTATAACTTAGACTTCTCCTCGAGATTTGACTCTAGGTTTGCCAATAGAGCCAAAACCCTCCTTGATATAGGAGTTGCATTCTCCTCACCGTCATCAGTATGTGAACCCGAGCCACCACTAGATTCATCCTCATCACTCACCGTCAAGAGGGAATTCAATGTCTGGCTATAGTCCACTACTAATTTCACATAGTTCATCACATACCGTGTAAGGGGATGAATCTCCCCGCTAACCATAGGCCTCCTGGAACTCTCGTTCTGCACGGCGCTCTCAAACTCTGAGAAAGTTCCTTTAGCAGCTTCTCCAAGTCCAGAGAGAACTCCCTTTGCCTCACCACAGAGGAAATCATCTGTTACCATCATCTCCAAGTCTGGAATAACAACTCTCAGTACATCATACATATCCAAGATCCTAAAGAGTTTCTCTGATGATCTCCTACCAATGGCCACCGCCTCCCCAAAATTTAGCAGCTGCATTATACACCCTTTAGCGTTCTCATTGAAACAAATCTCCCTAGCTGAATCGGAGGTTCCAAATATCTGATCACACAGCCTCTTCTCCCCAGAGAGAAGAACCCTAACTCCAATCTTAACAGCCTGCACCCATTTCTTCATCTTCTCATCCAAAATTTTCCATTCAATCCTCTGAACCTCTTCTATGCTAAGCTTCTCAGCTCCCAAGATAGCCAAACACTCGTCCAGAGCCTCCCTCCTGACACTACAGTAAACCTGAACACACTCTTTCTCGTACCCAGAACGGATCATTCGATCAGCGATCTCCCTCAGCTCCCCAACGGCATCAGGGTTGATCAAATCCACACAAATATCATCGCCCAAACTAGCCCCGCGCTCGTGGAAATAGCCGCTCCCACGAGCACTATCTACCTCACCGAAACTCTCGAATTCGTCGTCGACGATCTCCCCCTCGTTCCCCACAAACGAGACAGAGACCCTACGAATGGATCCGTACAGCCTCTCGGCATCGAGCGGGACAGTGTTCCTGGTGAGGATGTGGCGAAACTCTTCCTCCAGCCTCGTCATAGCAACCTGGACGGCGGTCTCGGCCCGGTCCACGGCCTCGATGCTGGCATCCTTAAAGGAGAGGTCGTCGAGCAGGTCGAGGACCTCGTCGACGGCAGTCAAGTAGTCGACGGCGTCCTCGGGGCAGTCGCACCAGGAGGGAAGAGCGGTTTGAGACGAATCCCAGCGCATAATGACTTGCTCGGCGGCGTCGAGCTTGGAGCGGGCCTTGCGGTCGTCGTCGTTGACCAAATCGGTGATGTTGGAGAGGCGGTTGTCGAAGCTGGAGAAGATGAGGAGCATGTCTTCCCTGACGTTGGCCGGCGTGTTGAGGCTCTTGACGATCTGCTGCGCCGTGGCCATGACCCGATCGTCGCCCCCGCCGCCGCCGAGGCTGGTAGTGGTGGTGGTCGCCATCTGGAAGTGAGCGGCGCCGGGGCCGGTCTCGGTCACCTCTTCCTCTGGAATCTTAGGGTTTTGCGATGGAGGGAATAGAAGGGAGAATATCCCCGGCGGGTGAGTAATCGGAAGGAGAGGGAGAGAAATCGAAGGAGGAGGGATCAGAATCGCGGTGGCGTAGATGGCGGAGGCGGATGGATCATATCTCCGCTGGGTTGTTCTGTTGTGGAGCGAGGAACTGGAGAGCCGGCTGGAGAAGAGAGAGTGAGTGAAAAGTCTCTCTTTTGTTTTCCTTTTTTTTTTTTTTTTTGTTGGTGTTGGTAAATTGATTGTCGGGTGCGGAAGAAGGAAGGTGTGTTTTATTAGTTGTACACTGCTCTACGGGAATGGGACGGCCGAAGGGCGAAGCATGGAAAGAAAATGAAAGACGAAAGGGAGGACTGAGGAGCGAAAATTGGGCGAAGGGAAATTAAACAAATTGGAGGAAAAAGAAAAAGGCCCAAGGCTGACTTTTCGATGACGTGAGTTTTTGGGTTTATTGTATTTAATAATAATTATTATTATTATATTATTGTTTAATGACAACGTCTCCGTCCGGTACACGCTTTGAATCCAGCCGGACCTGGGCCTGGCCTTGGTGTGTAGTAGGTAAAATGTAGAATTGTAGATTAGATGTTTATCTTGGAAGAATGTGGCCCACGATTATGGTCCAAATCATGTGAGTAACCCTTACCCCCTGTTTCCGAAGGAAGGGAGGAAAATGGAGGGGAGGGGAAGGGAATTAGGAGGTGAGGGACAATTTGGAGGTTAAGGAAAATGAAAGGAAAATGGTGTTTTATGGAGGAAAGTGGGAAGGAAAATGTATATTGGGAACTAGCTCGGTACCCGGTCGTTGGCCGAATTATTTTGCGTTGGAATATTTAAATAACTTCAAATTTTCTTTTTTCTAAGCATAAAGCATTAGAAAAATGGATCCCTACTTTATGATTACGAATTATCCTTACACTATCATAAGTTTGATGAATATCTCTTCATATATATTCATAAAAATATGTTCATTACTCTTTTAAACAAACCATTTTTATTTTACGTGGCGCATATTTTATATTTAGTTTTCATTGTTTTCGACATAGAATATTGGATCATATGTGCTTAATACTTTTTATATTCAATATACACATTGAATCTTGAAATTGAAAAATATTAAAATATATCGAAGTACAGATCGATACAAAGACCCGAGCAAAAAATAGTGATAAAATTTAAACGTTATGCGTTATTGGCCAGGAAAAAGATAGAGGAAATTGCACCATAGACAACTTAGTAAAGGTACTCAACCATAGGCATTAGTTATAGCCAAAAAGAAGGTAATGGCTTATTGTAAACCCTTAGTTTAAATATTTGATTGAATTACTCAGCCTAAGTTGATATTTCTTATCATTCTATAGTATTAGCCAAAGATTCTCAACTAATAGTTATCATGATTCAGAAAAGGTTTTGTTAAAAATATCATTAAATTCTTAGCATATATAATATTTCAATTTTCTTCAAGACGCTCTTTCATTAACATGGGATTATCTTGCTATGATTATTTGATTTGGCTAAGGATTCTCACCATCAAAATACCATCATAACCAAGTCTTATCATAGGCCTTACACACTTAATGTATTCGACCTTTGTCCTTGATCCTAACCAAGCGGTTAATGGCCAAATTTATTTGGACGAATATCACGTGTCTCGTGATTTCTTGCACGATTGCTTCAGTGGATAATCTTATCATGACATACTGGCCAATTAAATCATAAAAACCACCTATTGTAGACCATGTTTACATAATGAACAAATGCTATGAAAATTGTCAAGTAGTTTTAAGCGATAAAACTGGCAACCTACAATACATCCTATGCTTTGGATCGGTTTTTAACCGATGGAGTGTACAATTTATTTTGATTTATTTAACAACAACATTATGTACATGGTACAATTTCATAAATCAAGATGGTTTCATCTGTAAAAATTAAAAACAACTTCATTATCTCATAAGTATGTCTTATAAGTTTATGAGTCCTTCCCACATAAAATTTTCAAACTGAAATTATATTCCAATTTGAATAATTGGAGGGAAAGAAATTACCTACTGCGAAATCACCTACTGCTTGGGATGAATAATCCTAATTCCTTGTAGCACCAGTAAATTGATTTTATTTCTTATGGGCCAAGCCCACAACACTTAATTAAATCCAGAAATTAACAAACGCCTCCCACCAAAAAAAAGAAATTAACAAACGCCAAAGTATAAGAGATGTGGAAAAGACAAAGCAATCCTTCCTAACTATGCGGAGAAGGCTGCAAAATTCGAATTAAGGAGGTGTTGACACAGAACCTCCATATATTATTGGTAGGATTGTGATTGATGTGTTATTTTATTGATTGTGTAAGAGAAAATATGTATAGAATATATATTTTGTAAAAGAATATGAGAAAATGAATATTATGAATAGCCAATTTTATTATTATTTTACGCAACATATTTTGTTCATTTGAACTCCATTTAAAATTTTAGCATAAAAATTGGATTGCCATTGTAGGCGGTCTTTAGCGGTATGAAACAGTTGAACTAAGATTTTAGTATAAAATACGCTACCGTTGACTTTTTCGGTACAACCTCCGGTATGTTATTTCAATCAAGGATTGAAAAACTGTACCGTACCAGCAGTTCAACCAGAAAAATCTCCTGCCGAAGGCTAAATCGGTAGGCAGTATTTAATCGTATGAAATTATCGAACCACAATTAAACCACGGTTTTAGCATTCGGTACGGTATTTCTGTCATTAATTCATACATTTATAAATTATAAAAAATCTCATCTAACATATGAATAATAAGTAATAACATATAATTATCTTTTCCTAAAATTACTCTATAATTATCTCATCAACCATAAAAACAATAAATTAATTATCGCTTCTCCATTTGTTTTATTAAACACCTCTAATAACCTTAATTTCAATGTATTATAGTTAAAATAGGAAAGAGGATTATTTGGCCGTTAAATAACCTTAATTAACCCTATCCCTTTTATTTTGTCTCCATGTCTCTCTCTCTCTCTCGTCCCTTTCTGAACAAAATAACAACTCCTAGATCTAGCTCCCTTCTGGCTTTCTTTCTCCCTTCATTTTCCCAGAACAAAGGTCATCTCTTTTACTCCCTCCATTCTTATTCTTTTATCGGTCTACCTTCGCTGACCACCCATTCATTCTCTTGGAAACACAATCAACTGAAAAACTAACAACAGAACCGCTAACTTCTCTCTCCCTTCGTAGCCTGGCCTAGAAAACGAGTTGGATCAATCCTGTCCAACTGGGAGAGTCTAGATCCAGCAAGATCATGGCATGCATGTTTCTTTCTTTTGTTTTGTACTTTTGTTGGTTTAAATTGAGATTTTTGTTATTGTTTTTGGGGTCCTGATTATGAGGAAACAAGAAAAACATATTTGGCGGTGACAGCCTCGATGATGCCTCTCCACGCCGACCTCGCCGGCAACCAATGGTGAAGGGAGGAAGACAATTTTCCTTCTTTTATTTTTTTTTTCTTCTTTCAATTGGGTTTTGATTGTTTATTTTTTTTCCATGTGTTTTGATCTATCAACGTTGGATTTTGGATTCTGGCTTCTGGAGAAAGAAGAATGAAGAAGAAAGGAAAGTAAAATGAGAGAGGATAGGAGACGGTGTGCAATTAAAAAGAAAAAAGAAAATTAAGCCCACTTTGTTTTCTCTCCAGTTCGGAGGGACGGGTGGTACAGTTGCTTTTCCGTCCCTTTCCTTCCCCTCCTCACTATTTTTTTTTCGGGAACAGGGGAAAAGTTGTTGGGATTCCAACTTTCCTTCACTTCCCCTCCCCTCCCCTCCTTTCCCCTCCTAAAAAAACAGAGGGTTAGTTTTTAGTGGGCCCTTAGTTTCTAACGGACCGAGAAAATTTAGATCTAAAATTGGGAATTATAGACATTTTATTTTTTATATTTTTCTTAATAGACTCTTATTTTTTCATTCTAACTTGGATTTCAATTTTTTTTATACATATAGAACGAGTTCGTTAAATGAAATCTATTTTTCAATATTTTTTATGAAAAAAAGTTTCATATTTCTCGTTACCAACTTCATACCATATGGTATCTTCTTCGTTTTTAAGTCGTTTTTTAAAATATTTGCACAAAAAAAGGCGAAGCCCGCATGCAGTCAACAAAGGTACATCGGGAGTTGCGAGCTGCTGCTGCAGACCTGCAGTTGTGGAGGTCGACGTGACGTTTGAGCAGCCTCAAGTAACCCTCCAAGCTTTGGGGTAACTCACAAAGCCATAAGTGGGGGCATGGAATTGTGCATGCCAAATCACGGTGCTGAAAATGAAATGGAGACTCATTCAGTTCCACTTTGCTGATGAAAATGATAGGGAGAGGGTTCTCCATTGTAATCCATGGAATGTGAAAGAAAGAGTTCTTCACCTGCAATCATGGGCACCGGTGACGCCGAAGCTGGTGGAGTCCTTTATTCGAGTGCCATTCTGGATCTAATTGTAGGGAATTCCCTCAACTTGTCGAACTACTACTTTCGGACGTCGGGTGGCAGAAGCAAAAAATGGGGAAGTTATAGATCCAAGTTTGTTTGGGTTCCGTGGGGAGCAAGGCCATTTGTGAAGACGCATGCTAATTGAATGTTCTTTAACCTCTAAGATCCCAGTTGTTTGCAAGTAATGCTTTAGTGGGTGTTTTGGGTTAGTCTGGTTTATGAAAGAATTTCCGTGTTTTGTTATCATTGAGGTAGGCTAGGACATACAGAGAGTGTATGATGAGCGGATTCATAGACTTTGAAGCATTTGTTTTTGGAGTGTTCGGTTGCTGTTTCTTAGTGGAATTTGGCTAGGCTAGAGGCGGACCCGGAAAGCGGTGATATCTATAACTAGGGGTTGTCCTTTAGGCATTTGGTCGAGAGGATGGTTCCGCTAAAATGATTTTGCGGGTGGTTGCTCTAATGTGGAGGGTATGGAAAGCTCAAAACTAGGTGGTTCACGAAATGACGCAGGTGATGATGGGTAAATTGATGTGACAATATTATGCTCAGGATAATGAATGGCAGGGTATGCCGATTAGAAATGTCTGCATGCTAAGGGTTCCAACCTATTTGGAGATTGATGACTTAATATTTGCACATATTTTGTCCACCATTCTTATACTGTTTGAGGCTCATTCCCTGTGTTTTAAACTGATTTCACGCTAGGTTGCTCTTGTGAGTGATATTTCAGGTCCTAGTACGCAGCCAAAATCGCGCTTTAAAACTTAAAAACTTATGATTTTACGTTTGTAGGTAACTAAAACGCTTTTACACAAAATCTCAGTTTTTATAGCTTGTGTAGTTAAAAACTCCGCTTTAAAACTTAAAAACTTACGATTTTACGCTTCTAGATCACCAAAACGTTTTTACGTAGAAACTCGCTTTTGACTACATTGCTAGTACGTGAATGAAGGTTTGGGCACAAGTTTGGAGTTGATGGGATGAAGTTAGGTCGTACGACAGGAAACCAAGAGTTCTTTTCACACGGTCGTGCAGTGCGGTCGTGTGACTGGATTTACGCGACTAGATGTTGTACGAGTCGTGCAAGGGCGCCTCTGGTTGTGTGGGATATCAGAGATCTACACGGGCAAGTGGCCACTGTACACGATCGTGCGCTGGCCGTGTAGAGTCTACGGAGAACTAAATGGAACGTGGCGTTTTGGTTTTACACGGGCAGACCAGGATTTTACATGGTCGTGTGGTCTTTTGACATTAATTATATTCAATTGAGGCATGATTTTTCTGAATTGCTTGAATCGTGATCAAATTCTGGTAGTTCCTGCTTTGACCTAGAAAGAGAATATCTGCCTAGGTTGATAGAGCACCCTTAATTGAAGGTGGTGAATTGACTACTTTAGTCTAGGAGTTAATTCACTACTATGTACTGGATTTACTCTAGTAGAGGAGGTTTTGCACGTTAGGGCCTCAGTTTGTTTACTCCGGTGGAGGTTAGTCGCCCGCCTGGTATTCAGATTGAGAGGGTTTGGAGACTTTTAGTCGAGACTTCAGATTGAATAAGAACCTTCCGCAGTATAATTTTCATGAAATATGGACTTGGTGAATTATAACCTGACTTAGCTGCAATATAGGGGGAACCATATCTAGGTGACCTCTCTCAAACTTGAATCACAACCTTTACTGCCTTGTGTTTGTTTAGTTTAGTTATAATCTCACTACAGTTAAACCGCTAGATAACAAGAACTTCATGGAGTAGTCATCACATCTAGGACCCGGGTTGACAATTAAAGCGAAACCCGCTATACTACGCATTAATAGGTAGTTACACTTGACCACTTTCTAGTGTGACGGTACAGGCGAATTAGAGAGATAGTGGTCCGTGGAGGGTCTGCTTTGGTTGATTTAGGTTAGTTCATTTGCTCTGTCGATGGAGCGATTGTGCATAATTTCATTTTGCAGGTGGTATGGTTATTAATGATGCTGGAGTACTATGTTGTTGGCATGATGTGTTAGCTATAAAGGTTTGGAGGAACTGTTTCTTGCTGAGCTCATGGCGTTAAGAGATGTTTTTTGTTTGTGTGTGCGGCTGGGATTAGCGGAGGTGACTTTAGAAGGCGATGCCAAGGTGATTTTTGACAAGGCTGTTGATTGATGAGTTAGAGACGGGAAGGGTAGTGCAGTTTTGTCAGAGATTGAGCAGCTCAGACGAGATTTTCCTACGGTACAGTTATGATTTATAGGTATTTCTAGCAATAGTCCATTTGGTCGATAGGAAGACACCTTCTTTGTTTCTTGCGAGTGTTAATGGTTTTTATTTTCGCAATTGGCTTTCGAGACTCAACGTGAACTGTGTAATCTTTGTGGTCTTGTTAACTCCAATGAGATTTTGACAAAAAAAAATGGTTCATACTTTGGAATATCTATCAGTTGAAAGGGTTTGGTACTTGACCTTGAGGGAAGCATGACTACAATATTGCATGAAATACACTCAGATGTGGAGGTAATAAATGCATTACTTGAAGACATCAACAAAGGAGATTTGAGAGTGTACTTTCAGGTAACCACATATCTTGGTGAGGTGTAATTTATGGGAGAAATTATGGGTATGACCATGCTCAGATGACGAAGGTGAAAACTCTGTGTGTATCAGAGGTTGTTATTTTAGCTAAAGATGATGATGCCCTAACATTTGTTGAGGAGTATCATGCAATTAGGGCCGATATGCGAAACAAGAGACAAAATTTTAGAGCATCGTTTGACGGATCGGGAGACGAGGTGGATCAAATCTTTGCCGAGGATTGCAACATGAATATAGAAGTTGAGAATGAAGAGAGTGCAAGTGTGGGACACAATGAGGTAACTAAAATCGTGGAGGATGATGTCAATGGTAAAGGTTTGATTGAAATAGAGTATAGGGGCTCGGAAGACTCAACTCATGATAGAGGGAATATAGGCAAAGATGAAACTCCACAACATTTGATAAAAGCCAGTTTTATGATCCAAAGTGTGATCATAAAACATTGATGTTCGCCACACATGTGCTTCTTTACTCCTGATCAGTTTAAAGTTGTTGTAATGAAGCACTTAATTGAGATTGGTGCTAATATCATATGGATCAAGAGCATTCACACAAGGAAGGAAGTTGTGTGTGCCCAAAAGAAATAGTATTCGAGTGGGTGGAGAGTCTATGGCAGTTGGTTTCACAAACATGAAGCATTTATGGTGAATGGGGTGGAAATAGAGCATAGGTGTCCTCATTCACTTCGGATTCGTATGGATAGACATAAGTGGGTAGCAACTGAATACATCGAGATTGTCAGGGTAAATCAAGACTAGGATGTTAACCTAATTAAAAACCGTCGGTTAAGATAAATCCTGCGGGATTATCCTTCGAATATTCCTTTTTAATCGATTATCCTTAGAATATTCCTCAGAATAACCGATTAATAATTAATTATTAGATAATTAATTTCATTCAGAATTTCTCCAAAAAATATATAGTCTCAAGTGAACTAACCAACCAATCGACCGGGCGCGCTCGTTTGTGTGTGGTGGTCCGTTAGGTCCTCCCTCTCCCACAAAAGTGGGTCACCCCAAGGGGCATGCCATTAGGAGAGAGGCTCCTATCTTGATACATATTTCACTAAGTAAAACTATCAATGTGGTAGTTTTTCCACTTGAGACTCTATAGCTTTCAAAGCTATTCATTCATTTCCAACAGTAATTGGAAGGCATGGGAAATTAATATAATTATTAAGCTTAACAATATAGAGGCAGGGTTAAAATTAAATTAAGCACAAAAATAAAACAGAGGCAGGGTTCAAACTCAATACCTCCAGCATTAAATTCTGTCGATTTGGACTCATAACCATTTTGCCACCAAAGACTAAATATAACATTTTTACGTTTTAGAAGTTTTCTAGGATCTTGGAGGGGGGGGGGGGGCATGGACCCTCCTAAACACACGCTGGCTCCGTCCCTGCAAACACGCCCATCAAAAATCAAACAATCACAAACTCTTCACTTTGTGAAGCTCGAATTCACAATTGACCAAATTATCCATAGGGTCAAATCCAATAGAATCGACGCCGTTTGGAGCAGTCGACGGCAACAACAAGGCTCCCGATGACAGGGTATTTCGCAAACAGAGTGGCTATTTTCTAGGGTCGCTGGGAACAGGGGAACTCCCTCCCCCCAACTTATCCATAGTCATCCATCACGACATTCGATCCCCACTCGTTGCTTGACGAAATCTGGAATATAGATGCGATGAGCGTGAGTTGGGAATCAGATGGAGAAGACAACGTGGGAATTGGCAAGGATTGGATGGATAGCGAAGCCAAAACCATAACCTTGGGCTTTGGGGCGTTAATTTGATGGGAGAGTGATAGTCTCGGGAGAAGAGGTTTTGGGAATGGTATAGATGCGGCGGCCGCGATCCTGCTGGGCTTGTTCTTGCGGAGAGGAGGAGCATGAAGGCCGGCGCTGGTCTGGGCAGAGAGCATAAGCGCAACTCGGGGCTGAATTTAATTTTTGCTTGATTTATTATTTTATCAGATAAATGAAATAAGAAAATAATTTTTAATTTGAAATTTTTCAAATTTTCGTGCTAATATGACAGTGAGATGGACTGTTGACTGTTAGTCAATAATGTTAATCGTCTAAATTAACAATCAAAACACGCATCCGATCAATTGGCACTAAAAAAACCATAGTGGCATCTAGGGCTCATATTTCTCATTTTCTGTAAGATGGGCCTGCTTCCTACTAAAACCCATTTCAGTCCTTTAATTTAAATGAGCCCAAATTGAATTATAAACTTGCTTTGCCAAATATGGACTCGTCAATTAACAGCCCAGAAGACATCCAGGGATCAAGAAAGGAGATTAAGCCAGGGGTGTTTACGTAAATTAGACTCGTGCGAAATAAATAAGAACCCACGGGATAAGTAAAATGGAAGAGGCGAAAGTAAGAGCGAAAACCGAAAAAGGGCAAAAAGAAAAAGGAAATTTTGGAGAAACTAATAAGGTTTGGCTCCAAGGACCGATCCGAGCCACAGAATTTGAAACTTGCAGTTACATACAGAGTGAAGAACTGAGAAGGCCTCCTCAATACACTTCCAGCCAGGCTTCCCGGTGGGCGGTGACATGAGCCAATTTCCGAATCGTCTCCTTCGTTCTGGTACGCTCTCGTGGTTGCATTTTGTGAGCATCGGTTGTTGGGGAATTCGTCGCTCCGAGTAAGAATTGCTGGGAAGTAGTCACGGCATTGTTTCAGTTCGATCTCTTCTACTCGGTTCTTTATCTGTGTGCTTCTTGGCAATTGAATTTGTGATTGAGAATCAGAATCAGAATCAGGGTTTCGAATTGCATCTAGGGTTTTCGGAGAGCAGTGCATGGATGATTGTTAAGTGCTCCTGGGAGAGGAAACTATTCAACTGGTGTCTTTTGGGTGACTCTCCGTTTGGGGCTTCTGTTGTTTCGTTGAATTTGTTTCGGTGGGCGTGCTTCTGGGTTTTGGACGGGCGCTAGTGTGTTGCTATTATGAATAACAATAATCCGCCTAGGAGTGTGGGGGCACCTATCCAGTTTGCCACTTCCGGCCCTGGAGCACAATCTGTCCCCTTGACTCACCAGATTCCTCCCCATCTTCTCTCTCAGTCAAAACCTCAAACACAAGGTGGTTCCTTCCACGGCCACTTTCAACTCTCCGAGCCACAAGCTCAGCTGCTTACCCATGCACAACCACCAGTGCAGCAGCCTGCACAAGTTCGCATTCAGTCTCATCTCCAATCAACTAGCAAATCTATTGGTCAGCTGCAGAGTCCCATTTCTGGTAATGTTGGTCTGACATCGCCTTCTGGGTCCACTCCAGCAACTGCAAGTACCAAAAGGGCTGGCCATAAACCTCCTTCTAAGGCAGCTGGGGGATCAAATAGTGCTAATTCGTCTTCCCTTTATAAGGCGATGGAGTTGGCCCCTGCCCCTAATAGGAAGAGGCCAAAGCTTTTTCAGAAGCAGATACCTGCAGAAGTTGCAGCCAAGCTTCCAGAGTCTGCACTCTATGCACAATTGCTTGAATACGAGGCCAGGGTGGATAATGCTCGGGCAAGGAAGAAGGCAGATCTTAGAGAGGCCCTTAAAAACCCGCCTCGAGTAAGGAAAACACTTCGATTGTATGTTTTCAACACTTTTGAAGATCAAGGAGTAGGCAATGGCGAGAAGGCAACAGCAGAACCTCCTTCATGGTCATTAAAGATTATCGGCAGGATACTGGAAGATGGGAAAGATCCTGTGCTAGAAGGAGAGGTGCAGAAATCTTACCCAAAATTCTCATCATACTTCAAGAGAATTACCATTATCTTAGACCAGTGTCTCTATCCAGAGAAACAAGTAGTTTTGTGGGAGAATAACCGATCTACTGAACTTCACGAGGGCTTTGAGGTGAAGAGAAAAGGTAATAAGGAATTCACTGCAGTAATAAGATTGGAAATGAATCACACTCCAGAGAAATACAAGCTTTCGCCTCAATTGGCAGAAGTCTTGGGTTTTGAAGTGGAGACACGTTCAAGAATCCTGATGGCAATTTGGCATTATGTCAAGTCAAATAAGTTGCAAAACCGTAACGATATAGCCTCAATCATATGTGATCCACCACTGCGAAGATTATTTGGGGAAGAGAAGATAAAGTTTGGAATGGTGGCGCAGAAGATAAGTCAGCATTTAATATCTCTACAGCCTATTCATTTGGAACACAGGATCAAGTTAACAGGGAATTCTCCTGCTGGAACTGCTTGTTATGACATTGATGTTGATGTTCCTTTCCCAGTGCAAAATGAAATTTCCAAGTTCTTGGAGAACACAGGGAGACAGAAAGAGATCGATGCATATGACAAAATAATAAGCGATTCAATAAAGAAGATACATGAGCGTTGCCGAAGGCGTATTTTCTTTCTTGGTTTCAGTTACTCTCCGGCAGAGTTTATCAATAAGTTTATTGCTTCTCAAACCAAAGATCTAAAGCTTATAGCTGGAGATGGCAATTGCAACTTAGAAGAAGAACAACAGGCGGAGTTTTATAATCAGCCTTGGTAAGTATCATGTGCTTCCCTTTGTGCTCTTTATTCTTTCTCTGCACATTTAAGTATATGAGATTAACTTGCAGTACGAGATCGTTCTCTTTACAAATTGTAAAAGAAGGTAAGACCAGTAGAATTGTACTGACAAGTATTTTGTTGTGATTGTGGTTGAAATCTGTCAGGGTGGAAGATGCTGTTCTTCGTTACCTGAATCGCAAGACTGCTGGAAGTGATATACCTGCAAGGACTTGATTAAAGGGTTCTATTGTACGGTTGCTGTGGTACAGCCATCCACATCTGCAAGCATATCTAGTCCCAGAATTCTGTTTAGTTATAAGTCTTGGGGAGAGAAAGGGATTGGAGATATATATATATATATATATATATATATATATATATATATATATTGTATCAGTAGAGTTTTGTTTTGGGGGGAAGGGTCTCTTTTGATATGGTTATATCCATCTCCATCCCTTAACTGTGTAGAATGTACAATATGGATTAGTGATGGTAGTTCCCCTCTCTATTCATAACTATCTTCTCAATGTTAATTCATTGAAGTTACAGATCCCTTGGTTTTACAATTTGGCTCTAGAAGAGATCTTGATCTCTTTTTTGGCTATTTATCTGCACTCAATGTTAATTTCAAATTATTATTTTAAATATCATGAATTATATAACAGAAGAAAAAGCGAATATCAGTTGATTCTTATTATGTTAATTAGACAAATGACAAGGTTCCGTTGACTGGGTGCCCCACGGAAGATTTTCTCCCCCATCAGACATGGGATCTAGGGGTGGGTATTTCGTCGGTTCGATTGAAAGTGAACCGATTTGATGCAAAAATCAACCCCAAAGCGCACCTAAATTCACAATCGATTCCGAGCCAAACAAGAATAGAATTGGATCGAACAAAGTGAATTAATGTCGGGTGGGAAACCGTTCACCCTGAGGGCTTGGTGGTGACTGGAACAAGAAGGAAATTAGGAGGACGTTGCAATGGTGATGGTTGGAAGGGAAGGAGTCGCTGTGGCATAAAATTGTTGGGAGGACGGCCGGAGGGTCGCTGGTGGCTTTTAGTTTGCCATTGCCGCTTGGTTTCCCAGGAGCAAGAGTGAGGCAATGGGTAATTAATGGGCGACAATAGATCGACGGATCAAGCGAGGCAGATGCGCCATTCCTTTTGCCTTCTCTATAATAGCTAGCTAGATATGGAGCTGGGCAGAGAGCCAGAGACCGAGTTGCATCTAAAGAGAGAGTGTATGTCTTGTGCATTGGAGGTTGTTGTTGTTGTTACTTGCTGCTTACATATACAACTTATTAGGGATGGAGAAGGGAGGGTTTGTTATGGGCTCTTGATCTTTAGAGATGAGTGTGTGGGTCGGTTGGGTTGGAGAAGGGGAAGAGGTGATTTCATTTTCGGTGTGGGTACTAGATCGTTAGCGATTATTGAGTAGGCTCACTTAGGTCAAGGGCAATTGGGAATTTTTTGATCGGAAGTTCGGTTCGGTGAATTCTTAACCGAATTGTGACCTATAGTGACATCATATTTGAATTCCGAATCGACAATGACTTCAGTTCAGCTAGATCAGTTCATATGTCGGTCAGATTATTATGGTTCGGTATACTAAACGGGATGACCATCCCTAATGTGATCCTCTCTCAGGTGGCATCGCTGAGGTTAGGTGAAAATTTTTAAATAATTTTTTTTCTCGTTATTGCTTTTTAATTGATTTATCAGCTACTCAATGATCAAATGTTATTGTTGACGGTCATTTAAAACAAACTTAGCAAATATAGATAACAAGTAATTAAAAAAAAACATTGGTTTTGAAGTCACTAAAAAACATTAGTGACAAAAACAAAATAAATTAATAAACAAAATAACCAAACATGAAATTCAACCTATCAGCTAATAGCTAGAAACTGATCCCATTCCCAACACTTTAGATGCAGTAGGGGTTAATACAGGTCAATTAGATTTTTCCTGGCATGTAAAAACGTTTTTTCTTCGCCGCCACCAGGAGATGGGGTTGCGAGGAATCTGTTTGGTTTCCCACACTCCCCGCCGCCGTTTCATAGCCAGGACCAAAACCCTAACAGCCTTTTCCCTCCCCCGGGCTTTGGAAGCCCTAACCAAAGCCCACTTCCTGCCCAAGCCCAAAACCTATTCACTATAAACCATAACTACTTTCCAAACCCATTTCGAGCCCAGCCCGCCCCTTTCCCTTCTCCTCACAGTCAAGGGAGACAGATCCATAGAATCAGCCCACGAGCCCATAAAAAGAAGAGGAAGACTTCTGGGCTCCATTCAAATGTCCAGGGGGCTGAGTTGATCGGTGGTACCCAGGTTGTTGCTGGGGAAAATGCGGACTATGACGATCCTGCGATCCCGCCAGGATTTGAACCCAATCTCGCTGTGGTTATGGTGGCCGATTCCAAGCCACCGGGGGCCCCATGAATGCCCTTGTGTGGAACTGTAGGGGATTCGGACAGACCCCCACGGTTCGTCAATTGAGGAAGTTGGTCAAGAAACACCATCCTTCGATTTTATTTCTGTCCGAGACCAAGAAGGAAGAGTCCTATATGCAATCTAAGAGAAGGAGCTTGAGGTTTGCCGAAGAATTCCATGTTAATCCAATCGGACTTGCTGGAGGATTGGCTCTTTGGTGGGTGTCAGGGCTACCTATAACTATCATAGATAGTAGTAGTTATTTTATTGATGTCTATGTTGATGTTTGTGGGGGTTTTTTTTATCACTTTTGTACATGCCCCGTCTGATCCGGCTCAGCGGAGGGTTTTCTGGGATCAGATTAGTAGCCTTAGGACTAGTATTGAAGATAAATGGGTTGTTATTGGGGATATGAATGCGGTATTGTTTGCCGAGGAGAAGAAGGGTGGGAATGAGCCTAGGAATGTTTCTACCTTGCCTTTTAAGTCTTTTGTTTCGGATAATGGTTTAATGGATTTGGGGTTTAAGGGTTATCCTTTCACGTGGAAGAACAATCAAGAAGGGATTCGACGAATTGAAGAGAGGCTTGATAGAGGACTCTGCTCCACTTCTTGGTTCTCTTTATTCAATAAGGCTATGATTTTTCATGAACTACCAATTGAGTCGGACCATTGCCCTTTGAGATTGGAGTTTGAAGGGAACCGGAGCAACTCTAGGGCTCCGTTCCGGTTTGATACAAGATGGCTCCAGAAGGAGGAATGCGCTGATATTGTTAACCGTAACTGGGATGGTGGGGGCTTCTGCCATGATAGATTGCTGAATTGCGAGAAGGAGTTGACTAGATGGGCAAAACAGATGTTTAAAGAGCAGAATAAAAGGGCTGAGGATATCCAGTCGAGATTGGGGGCTATTCTTTTGATGGATCGGTCAGTGGAAATCATCGAAGAAGAGAGAGAGCTTATGAATGAGCTTGCTGCAATTTGGAAGGATGATGAATTGTTGTGGAGCCAACGTTCTCGGGTTGATTGGCTTAGTGTGGGAGACCAGAACAATAAATTCTTTCACGCCTCCACTTCTCTCCGCAAGCTTCGGAATAAAATTGCTTCCCTGAAAGATGAAAATGGGAACGTGATTAGTCAACCGGAAGAACTTTCTAACCATGTGGTGAACTTCTATCAAGCTTTGTTTACTAAGAAAGGTGGCCTTAATGATGATGCCCTTCAAGATTTCCCTAGGCTGGTGTCCAATGAAATGAATATTGATCTGGAGCGAGAGCCGACTGTTGAGGAGATTCGTGCTGCTGTGTTCGACCTTGGTCCAACAAAATCCCCAGGTCCTGATGGTTTTGCTGGGTCTTTCTACCGCAAGTTCTGGAGCAAAATTGGGCCTGACTTCTGTCGGGAAGTTATTGATTTCTTCAGATCGTCGGTTATGCCTCAGGGATGGAATGACACTCATATTGCTCTAATACCCAAGGTTCTAGCTCCGGAGACGATTTCTCAATTCCGCCCGATTAGTTGCTGCAACTTCAGATATAAGATTATTTCCAAAATCCTGGCGAGTCGAATGAAGAAGTGGCTCCCGGGTTTAGTCTCAGAGATGCAAGCTGCATTCACAGGTGGGAGGCTTATCCAGGACAATGTCATTATTGTTCATGAAATGCTGCATAATTTCAAAAACCGCCGAACTGGAGACTGGGATATGATGGTGAAGCTGGATATGAGGAAAGCTTATGACTTAGTGGATTGGGATGGTCTTGAATCTATTCTGCTGGCCTATGGTTTCTCGGGAAAATGGAGGGGTTGGATTCGGGAATGCATCAGGACAGTCAAGTTCTCCATTCTTCTGAATGGAAGCCCCTCGGTCCCCTTCCTGCCGTCTAGGGGCATCCGGCAAGGTGATCCCATTTCCCCGCTCTTGTTTATCCTTATGTCCAATGCTCTGTCTCTTCTTATAGAGAAGAGTATCGAGAAGGGTGAAATCCGAGGAGTCAAGCTCAATCAGGACTGCCCAAGAATTTCACACTGCCTGTTTGCGGATGACACGGTCATCTTCGGTAAGGCAAGTGTCTTGGAAGCGGATAGGATTCTGGATATCATCAACATGTATGGTAACACTACGGGGCAGGAAATCAATGCGTCTAAATCGTCAATTTTCTTTAGCAAAAATACTCCCCAAGCTATCCGTGGGCTGGTGAGCAGTAAGTTTGGGTTTCCACCAACAGTTTGTCACGACAAATACTTGGGGGTTCCAACCGAATGGGGCGGATCGAAAAAAGAAACCTTCAGGTTTCTGCTGGAACGAATGGAAAAGAAAGGTGATTCTTGGAAGAGCCTTCTGTTGTCTCCCGGAGGGAAAGAAGTACTGCTGAAAGCAGTTATCCAAGCTTTACCAACCTATATCATGAGTGTTTTCTTGCTGCCTTTGAACCTTACGAATAAAATGGACTCAATACTGAAACGATTCTTCTGGTCGGGTTCAACGAGGAAAAGAGCCATCCATTGGTGCAATGCGAGAGAGTTGGAAAAACCTAAAGAGGAAGGAGGATTGGGCTTCAAAAATTTCCATCTCTTCAATCTGGCACTCATTGGAAAGCAGGTTTGGAGACTTTTTGATAACCCCGACGCCTTGTGGGCTAAACTACTGAAAGGGCTTTACTTCCCAAATGATGAGCTTTTCTCGGCAACGAAGGGGCGAAAGAGCTCCTGGATTTGGAATGGGTTGTGTGAGGCAAAGGAGAAGATGAAGAGTGGTTTGGTAAGAGGTATTATGTCTGGGGAGGATTCTTGGTTCCATTGTGACCCATGGCTGCCATCCACTCCGTGTTTCAACTTGTCTCACTTGGGCTTGGAGCCATCAAAAGTAAGTGATTGGATTGACCGTGACTCTTGTAGCTGGAAAATGGAGGCCATTCGTAATATGGTGCCTGAGGAGATTGCTCAGGCTATTGCCCGGGTTCCGGTGGGTCCCTGTTCTGCTAAGGACAGCTGGATTTGGCGGTGTACGGAGACAGGTTGCTACAGTGTTAAGTCTGCCTATCGGATGTTTCGAGAGAGTCGTGATTCGACTGTGGATAATGGCTTAATTCCCTCGGCTCGACCTAACAGAGACGATTGGAAGTGGTTATGGGGTCTCAAGCTGCCTCCTAAGCTTCGGTTTTTCATTTGGAAATGTGGTAAAAATGCTATTTCAACCCGAGCGAGGCTGTTTGGTCGCAAGTGTGCCCCTAACCCTTTATGTCCAATTTGTGGGGACCACGAGGAAACGATTATGCATTGCTTCTTTCAATGCCCTAAGGCTCTTCAGACTTGGTCTCAACTTGGGCTGCAGAATGTGCTTCCTGGGGCTGATTCTTGCTTTGTGGATTGGTTCTTTGGATTCAAGGATAGAGCCCCTGTTGGTCAAATTACCAGGATTGTGTGCTCACTATGGAATATCTGGATTGCACGAAATGGTTGGGTATTTGAGAGTCGGGCGTTCTCTCCGCCCTCTGTGGCAATTTTAGCCGAACGTGATATCGTAAATGTTCAAGAAGCTAGGATCGGATCCTCAGCTCATTCCTCCTCATGTCCAGCTGGATTGCCTTCTCAGCCTGGGAGTTCTCGATCTTCGACCTTATCACCGCCTGGTCCTTTCTGTAAGGTTGTGCATTGTGATGGTTCCTTTGTTTCTGATGCACAGGTGGCGGCTTATGGGATTGCTATTGCAAACTCCCACGGTCAGGTTATTGACGGGAAGGCTGAGCGTTTCTTTTGTTCTTCTCCGATACAAGCGGAAGCGTTTGCGATTCTTAATGCAGTTATCTGGGCGGCCCAGGACCCAGTTCCAACGTGTGTCCGATCCGATTGTCAGAGGTTGACGAATGCGTTGAGACAGGATCCGAGTCTTTGGCCCTGGCAGTGCCGGGCATCTCTTGCTCGTGTGGTTTCCATTCTCTGTGTTTCTCCTTGGATTACGGTTGATTTTGTCCCTCGTCGACTCAATAAGCTTGCTGATTGGATCGCTAGGAACTCTCGCCTTGATCTCCTTCCCCCTGAATGGTTTCTTGTTGCCGACCTTGTAGCTCCATTATTGTAATCGTTGTGTTCCCCTTGTGTGGGTTTGGAATGAAATGAATGATGAATGTTGTCAAAAAAAAAAAAAAAAGAATAGAGATTAGAGAGATGCGGGATCGATGCATGGGATGTGAGAGAAAGTAGAGGGTTGAAGCCGTCATTTCAACATTCCAATCCCAACGGGGGCGTGTTGCTGGCGTCGAGCGCGAGATGCCTGCTCCAAGTAGAGATTTACCTAGCTCCTGCAAACCCTAAAAAACCTCTCGGCACGATCAAGTGTATTTTGGGGAAGAACTGATTTTCTGATCGAATGTGAAACACACAACTACCCAAGAGAAGAATGTGAAAACGAAACTCAGACCGTCGTTTTGGGTTTGATAAGTAAAGCACATGACTTGGACGTCGTTTTGATCTAGATAACTAAGCTTCCTGTTTGTAAAGCCAGGACTCAGCGTTTTGTACTAAAACGACCCGGTTTACCTTTCACGTTTACCTTCTTCTTCTTTGATTTGTCTTGAATTGACTTTCGTGTGCAGGTGAAGTTCCCTGAGCCTGCAAAACAGAGTGAGTTCGAAAGACAAGGGAATAACACGAAGAGATCAATGACACAGACTCGTTTTTACGTGGTTTCTAGTATTGGGAGAATGAGGATCCCAATACTGACTATTCCACGGACCGAAGAATCACAGCTTGTGATTTTCGGCGATTCACTCAATGCGTTGCACCTGTTCCGTTTACAAGTTTGATCCTGATTAACCTATCCAATCCTGGACGATTAATCCACTCACTACCAGCTATTTCCCAGCTACCAAGCTATCCAGCTTTTGTGTTGTCCAACACTTTCTCTCTAACAAGGTTTCTCTCCAGAGCCACTGCTAAAGCTACTTTTCACTATCAATCACACTTGCTACCTCCTTAGCTTCTCTCGTGTGTATTGATCTCCTGGAAAAGTTGCTCTACTTCAATTCTGAACGGAGCTTTTGTATTCCTCGATGGCTAGCCGTTGCGACTCAAGTTAGGTAGGTCTCCTTCCTTTGAATTCTTTCCTGAATTGTTCATCAAATCAAAACTTCCATTCCACGCAACAATTCTTTCCGAGGCAGATTCACCAGACCCGCAATTTCCTTCCTCTGATGGATACGCCAGGCTCACACTTTCCTTCTCTTGATTCTGAGATTAATGACTGGCTTACTTGTCAACAATCTCCCCCTAAGCCAGTCAATGATCCCTTCAGCTGCTTGTGGAGTTCCTGCACACATTTTAACAAACTATTACGTGCAGACTGCTCTCAACACTTTACCAAGATACATCTAATAAGACGAGACACAATCAGAGGGCATTTTTATTAATCTTTGAAAACTGAAACTTAAGACACTCAAATGACGTTGATACTTAAGACACTCAAACAATCAGACATAGACTCAGTACACAGACTACCATGAGCTCTGAAAGAGCTTTATTCAACATTGATACTGCCGACTTAAACCCTAACTCATACTGGTTCCTCACTCCCCCTAGAACAGAAACTCGGGAGAGGACACATAATCTGAAATGCCATCTTCATCCTCCATCCTCATATTCCTCCTACTGCAGCTTGCTTCCTCTTGTCCAAACATGGCTTGGATTGCTTCCAACGGGTCCACCAGAGGTCGCTTCCCCTTATCCCTGACGGCTCCAGAGATATCTGCCGTATCAGGTTCTTCCTCAGCTTCATCTCCACCCAGATCTGACAAGCTGACTCCATCCTCATGACGAACTCCAGTAGCAGCTGTTCCTCCCCCTGGAGCATTGACCAGTGGGCGACGACGGCCTACAGATGCATCTACCTTACGAAGTACGAACTGAGCTCGAAGAGAGCTGAGAACATCCACTCGTGCCACCTTGAAACGCAGGTCTATGCCTAAGGCTAGCAGGATCTGAGTAATTTGTGGAGCAAAAGGCAGGTCCGCATCATAATTATCAGCATGAAAGTTCAGCATATGATCGAACATCAGATGAGAGTAACTGATAACACGATTTTCCTTGGCACTAGCAAGGATCCATAGATCTGAAGGATAGATAGTATTGAGCCCGAAAGATCGAGGCAGAAAGAGACGAGAGATATAGAAATGCAGCACTTTGAGGTCGTCAGGAAGTCTGCCAGCATGAAATTCTGAGGGATAATAGCGACCAGTGTCGCGAGTATACAGTCGCAGAGCATCTCCCTCATTGAATTCAGCAGAGTGGAAATCCGACTCATTCATGACTTCTGCTCCAGCAATAGGAATTCCTAGCTGAAGGGACAGCAGTTCCACATTGATAGTGATGAGAAAATTATACACTATCGTTATGAAACAGGGAGGAGAGATATGAAGACAAGGCTTCATGTTTGCGTAGAACATCCTAACAGCCTCAGGACAAAACCCAAAGTTTCGATTAGGAAGGATGTCACGCCAGCCCAGAGAAGTAATCAGATGTGGAATATCCATCCCATATCTGTTGAATCGTGATGGATCAAGAGTGATGGACGGGTGCAAGGGACGATCCTGGAATTGAAGCAGATAACGAGCATAGCTTGCTGCGTCTTCAAACCCTTTGCCATTGTAAATGGCGGCTTGAGCCAGACGCAGGGAAGTCACATGCTGAGCAGACATGACGGCTAAAGATATGAAGAATTTTGAAGTGATTTGAGTGATGAGAAGAGGCTCTCTACTGTAACTCTTTATAGAGCGGCAGAGAACGAGTTATGGAAAGAATTGTGACAGAATAGGAAGGCGAGAAGTCTTGTTCCCAAAGAATTGGTATCCCTTAAATCATGGGAAATATGATCAGAAAAGGGAACTCAGATCAGTAGTGAAAAGGATCTTTGAGACTGAGCAGACAATTCGACAATATCGGTTAAGGCAAATAACCCTAACTCACGTCGGATTCGGATAAAGGGTTCGGAGCCCAAGGGCTTTGTAAAGATGTCAGCCCATTGACATGAGGTAGGAACAATGATAGACCGTTATTTACACATGTTTTTACCCCCGTTCTTACACCGTTTGAGGTGTTGATTCTCGTGTTTTAGGCCGATTTCACGCTAGGTTGTGCTTGTTTGTGATATTTCAGGTCCTAGTACGTGAATGGAGGCTTGGGAGCGAGTCTGGGGTTGATTGGACGAAGATCGGACGAATGGCAAGGTTTCAAGGAAGCCGCACGGGCAGACCGGGGGATCACACGGCCGTGCAAGTGAGCAAGGTGGCCGTGTCATTTCCACCGAGAGCAAACACGGGCAGACCGTGGCATCACACGGCCGTGCAAAAGTGCAATTGTGGCCGTGTGATTTTTGCCGAGGCCAAACACGGGCAGACTAGAATTCTCACACGGCCGTGCAACCCTGGCCGTGTGAGATGGCTGAAGACTGAACTAATCCATACGCTGCGTTTCGACTCGCACGGGCAAAGTGGTGAGCCACACGGCCGTGTGGCCTGCCCGTGTGAGTCGGGAAATTCTGGTTTTTGAGCCAATTTCGAGCCAAAAGGGGGAGAATCGGATTTTCAGAGCAAAAACAGAGCCCTAGAGAGAGAAAGTACGAAGAACACATCCTAGAAGCTATCTTGGAGCTGGGTTTCATCGAATCGAGCTTGGAGATCGTCATAGGAGTGGAAATCATCATCCCGGAGCAGATTATCCTCATCGTTATGAGTATGACTAATCCGATTCTTGTTTTCTCTTCTCTCTCTATGGAGTAGAACCCTTCTCTCCCTTGGGTATGAAGAACCCTAGTTCCTTGTGTTAGGGATTTGATTGTAATAACTTGGGATGATATTACTGTTTGATTTTAATCGAATGATGCATGTTTATTGAATTGATTGAAGTCTGATCAGCTTTTCTCGATTTCTGCTGCAACCTGAGATAGATAGAATCTGATTAGGTTGTTAGAGCCTCTTCATTCGATAGTAGGAGATTGGCTATACGAGAGTTAGCCAGTTTACTGCTTTGTACTGGAATTCAATTCCAGTAGTGGAGTTCTGTGTTCATAGCCTCAGCTTTCTATCCCGGTGAAGACTAGTCGTCTGCCGGGTAGTTAGATTGAGAGGGTTTGGTCAGCTTAAGAGATTCCAAGCTACTGTCGAAACTTCCGTAGTCTAATTAACAGTGAATCAACCCAGGAGAATTACAATTGGACCTAACTAAGGGGCTAGGGGGACTCAATCCCGAGTGACTCTTTCCTGACTTTGAAAACCGAATTATTACTTGCTTTCTTACTGCTTTTGCTTTAAACAACAATCACTCGAATTAGTTTGCTAGATAATAGATAATCACGGAGTAAGTAGTAGATCTAGACCCCGGGTTGATAATTGAACTTGCCTGTTACTGCATTCCCGGACTGCGATTACACTTGGTCGCAGTTTGGTGTTGTGTTTTGGCGTGTCAAACAAATTCTAGTCCTATTTGACATTCTTCCACTAGTTCACGAATGAAATGATAGCGGACATCTATATGCTTGGTTCATGAATGTTGTACAGGGTTCCTGGTCATGTTAGTTGAGCTAGTGTTGTCACATAGAACTGGTACAGAACCAGGGGACAAACCGAAATCCTCCAACTGATGCTTCATCCAGAGGATTTGAGTACAGCAGCACCCTGCTGCAATGTACTCGGCTTCGGCTGTGGACAACGCGACAGAGTTCTGTTTCTTACTAAACCAAGAAACCAAGGAAGTACCCAGAAACTGACAGGTTCCTGATGTACTCTTCCTATCAACCATACATCCAGCGTAGTCAGCATCCGAATACCCTAACAATTCTAGGATGGAGTCCCTTGAATACCATAAACCTAGATTTGGACATCCACTTAAATATCTAAATATGCGTTTGACTGCACTTAGATGACTCTGTTTAGGAGAGCTCTGAAATCGAGCACATACACACACACTGTACATAATGTCAGGTCGACTAGCAGTTAAATACAACAGGGAGCCAATCATTCCTCTGAAAAGTTTATCATTTACTGATATTCCTGATTCATCCTTATCAAGTTTAGTGTTGGATGCCATGGGGGTTATGGCAGATTTTAAGTTTCCAAAATCAAACCGTTTCAACATGTTCTGAAGATACTTGGTTTGACAAATAAAAATCCCAGAAGAAGTTTGTTTAATTTGCAGACCAAGAAAGTAATTCAGTTCCCCCATTAGACTCATTTCAAACGCACTTTTCATCTTTATTTCAAAATCCTTACAGAGAGTTTCACATGTAGACCCGAAGATGATATCGTCCACATACACTTGCACTAACAGTATATGTTCTTGTTCATGCTTAATGAAAAGAGTTTTGTCTACTTTCCCTATCTCATCTGACTTGTTTTTATAAATCCATTTAGTGCCTATTATTACTCTATCTTCAGGTTTAGGGACCAACTCCCACACATTTGCACGTTCGAATTGATTCATTTCTTCAAACATAGAAGCTGTCCAGAATTCATCCTGGAGAGCTTCTTCTACATTTTTTGGTTCTATTAAGGAAACAAATGCAGCTAACGAGGGCAGAGTTCTGGATCGAGTAATCATACCTTGATCTAGTCCTCCAATAATCAGACTCGGAGGATGTCGCTTGATTATGTGTGGAGGAGGTTGCACTGCCATTTCTTCTGATCTATTTTCCTTGGTAGTCTCTGGTTCTACTGACAAATCCGTCATTGGTTCCTCTCTTGTAGTGGAGGACTGCACTATGTCCTTGGCTTGAGAATTATCAGATGGTTCTGACCTGTTCTGCATGATGCTTCTCCCAAGACCAAAATCATCCTCATCCCATTCATCTGTACACTCAATAACACCCTCATCAAATATCACATTGGCGGACTCCTCAACCTTGAGGGTCCGCTTGTTAAAAATTCTATATGCCTTACTGGTGTTTGAGTATCTCAGGAAAACTGACTCATCAGATCTTGCATAAAATTTTCCTAAGTTATCCTTGGTATTTAAGGCATAACACTTGCATCCAAATGGGTGAAAGTATCCAAGATTAGGCTTCCTTCCTTTCCAGATTTCATAAGGTGTTTTATTCAAACTTGATCTGATTAGAGCTCGATTTGTTATATAACATGCTGTATTAACTGTTTCTGCCCAAAAATACTTGGGCAGATTGTAATCATGAAGCATAGTACGAGCAATGTTGATTAAAGTTCTATTCTTACGTTCCACTACTCCATTTTGTTGGGGGGTCCTAGGGGCAGAGAAGTTATGAGAGATTCCTGAGTCATTGCAAAAATGCTCGAATATTTCTGAACAGAATTCCCCTCCATGATCACTCCTGATGCTGGCCACTTTGCTTAATTTTTCATTTTCAACCTTTTTAACAAGAGTTTTAAGGTTTTCAAAAGCTTCATCTTTCTTAGCAAGAAACATCACCCATGTATACCTTGAATAATCGTCTACAATAACAAAAGCATAGGATTTTCCACCATAACTAACCACATTAGCAGGGCCAAACAAGTCAAGATGCAGCAGTTCTAGGATTCTAGAGGTGGATATGACCTGTTTACTTTTAAAACTTGACCTAGTTTGTTTTCCTTGAACACATGCATCACAGAAGAAGTCCTTCTTCTCGTTAATTCTTGGTAGGCCCTTTACTAGATTCATCCTAACCAATTTTGAAAGAACCGCAACATTGACATGACCAAGACGCCTATGGCAATCCTGTTGCTCACTAGCTTCCATACTAACTAGACACAGCTCATTGAAGCTACTCTTGTCGTTTAAGTCTATGGTATAAATTTTCCCACTTCTTTTTCCTGTGAAAAGAATTTGTCTGCTCTTAATATTTTCCACATAGCAACAGCTAGACTAAAAAATCACACGACAGTCCTTTCCACACATTTGGCTTATGGATATGAGATTATGTTTTAAGCCTTCTAATAACATCACATTTATGATACAGGGGCTGATTCCCACTTGCCCTTTACCAATTATTTCTGCAGAATTATTATCACCAAAGTAAACTACCAAAATTACCTAATTTAAGCAATGAGAACAGAAGTTTGTTACCTGGCATATGATGTGAGCATCCGCTATCCATGACCCATTTTGTCACCTACGTGCTCACTCGAAGGCAGCTCTGCAAGCACAAAATTCATTTTGTTTTGCTAACCCAGACTTTCTTGGGTGCACTTGTGATTTCAGAATTATAACATTGAAAGGTATGATCACATCCAGATGCAGCTAAATTCTTTATTCCTGGTGCTGATTTTACCACCCAGACTTGTTTAGTAGGCCAATAATACTGAGCCGAATTCTTAGTCTTTAACGCTTCTGCTCTAAGTCTTTTCCTACACACCTTGACTTTGTGACCGTACATGTTACAATAATAGCACTTAACTGACTCAAGATTCATCCCTATCTTTTGAGTTCTTTGACGACTGCTATTTTCTTGCATTTTCCTCTTAAGCTCTACACATTCCTTTTGAAGAACAACCTTTTCTTCTTCTGTTGACAGTAACTTATCCTTAAG